TGACGTCTTTTTTATGTTTTTGCTTGCAGATCTTTTTGGCGGTCAATCCGGCTCTAATAAGTTTCTTTTTAGTATTTTTGCTCATTTTGACTTATACGGTACAGGCGAGTAAATGAAATCAAATCCAAAGTCCTTTTAAACAATTTTAAAACTATTATTCAACTATTATTTTACTTAAAATAATATGAAACATTACAAATAATCATTTATATAATAAAAACATTTAAAAAGGGTTTCTGTTTCTCATAACAATATTAATCTTACTATAACATAAATTTGAGCTTTAAGAACAGTTCTTGCAGATGTACTGTCTTTTTCTCTTTCGCACCCATATAGGTGTCGTAGTATCACTCAATGTTTCGCCCTTCAAACTGAATACCAAACATTAAATTAATGCATAGTAGGTAATACAATACCCGGCTTACCCTTCGTACCGTGATTCGAGAATAATGAATAATGAAAGTAAACAACTGCAATACTTTAGCTGACGAATCGACGGTGGATGAGAGTGAGTTTTGGTAAATTCGGTGGACGTTAATTAGCGGCGGAGATTATTGGAGTAGGATTGAGGATTTTTGCTATTGGTTCATCTAAGGGAAATGTCTAGGAAAAACGTACATGCTGGTTAAGGAAATTGAGTCACTGGTGTTACAAATTTTGGCGGGGCACTTTGCATGGGGGTGAAGGGTTTTCTGGAACAGGATTGGTTAAGGATGCCGTCTTCGGAGATGAGTAAGGAGGTTAGTGGGCTTTTTGAAGAAAAGTCGTAAAATCAGGAATGTCCTCTATGGATGCACACGTGCACTTGAGTGGAATCGTTAACGGTCATGGCTATTACCTAAATACAATTTTTTATATACGTATCCTCTTGGAAGGCTCATCTCGTTTTCCCTAAACCGGGGACACATGTGCGAGATAGCTGCTCCCAAAGGTTGCTATGTGGTGGAAACCAAATCCCATTTATTGCTCTTTTGACATTTGGTTATCGGCCGCGGATGTGGAACTTGATTTGTCACGCGAACGTAACAGCTTCGTGATTACTTCTTTACATCGCACAACCGACGTTTGGATATTAGATTAGCTATACACGGGAAACAGGAAACAGTAATAGCTACTATTGTCGTTAGCAGCGAGTCACAGGTAGGTGAGAACTGTCTAATGTGGCGCGTTCGTAATTATGGCGCACGCTTATTTTCGTATAATACGGTTTTATAGAATAATTGAACAACTCTTATTGAATTCATTTATGTATCAACTAATTACAGAGTAAAAATTATAAATAACAGATGTATTTTAATCATTTTATTATGAAAATTAACTTTTATACATTATCACGTTATCACTCAATTTACAACGTAAAAGAGAACAGCATCTAACACATTTCATAAGCACAGATCATCATTTTTAATGGGGTTTTTTAGAACCCTTGATATAAAAGCATGCTTTTATGTTATTATTAATTAATATATGTTAAAATATGAAAATTGTTATTAAAGCTGCGCGCGACTGATGCGGCGCAGACGATATTTTGGCTTGACAGTTAATGCGCTGCGAGAGCAAAAACCCATCGGCAATGCTTAACTGTTAGACCCTTGCTTGTTTCCTTCTGTAGTACATCGTATTTGATTATTATAAAAGATGATGAGAATTGTTCTCTCAATTGAATTATTAGTTTGCTAAACCGAGGAGCTACCTTTTACGATATTCTATTCGTTAGCAAACTTAATCCAATAAGTGACAAGTTATAAACATATTGATATATTTCGTCAGATCACTAAATTTGCCTAAATTTTATGCTTCGTTATTCTATGCTTTCTAATGTATGTTTCAACCGAGAAATACAAAAAATTCCCCTTAGAGTATATTTCTCGTTTAAAATGCATTAAGCGCCACATTAGCGGAAAGGGCGTCTAAAGTGGCCAAATGTACTCGTTCGCAAAGTCAACGATTATTGTATTTTGAAGTCATAAAATTTATATTAAAAGTATGTAAAACTTTGACTAAGATGTTACTTTATTATTATGTGCCGACGAGAAGACGTTTTATTAATTATTCATTTTACAATAGGGAATTTCCCTTAGGTACGCTAATTTTGCCGCCTCTCCCCTAGCATAGAAAATGAACAACAATCAATGTGGAATAGGATTATTTATGTAGAAGACGCTAACCATTACATTTTCTAATATAATTCTCACTGAGTTGTTTAGTTTCGTTGTTTAGCCCCTGACCATTATAACTTCATTTCTTCCTTCTTCAATCTCATTTCCCCTTCCTACGTTGTCCCGTTTTTCTATCTGTTTCTTCAAGTTACCTATGTAAAACGAAAATAACTTTCGACCTTGTAGTTAGTAGTAAGACAATCTTGTTTTAGTTTCTTTTTATCTTCAAGTTTTTTGACAAATTCTAATTTAATTAAATTGAATTTAATTGAATTAAACTGCATTATTGAAATGGAACGCAGTACGGTATAGACGTATAGAATGGTCTTCGTAAAATTTCGAAAAATAATTGCATATCGTTATACTATAGTTAATCTCGTTTTCGTATGCATATAAATGACGTCATTTGAAAAATGGTCCATTCCAATCACGACTCAGTGTCCATACACATCATTTTTATAAAATGAATATCGAAATTTCGTATACTAACGTATCAGGACTCACTATCGACTTTATGATAAACCGATGAGCGACGACTATAGCATACTTCCTATTTCAGAAAATCTCTTATGGCTCCACTCAGATCATTTTCTTTAGCACGTGAACTGCTTATTTTACCAGTAAAAAACCATTCGTATTTAAATGATCGGTGGAAAAATTTGTTACTGTCTGTGGAAAATATCACGACACCACGTCCCTGGTATCTAGCACAGAATGATTTTGATAAATGCAAATTAGCCGCGTAAAGCCACGTAGAAAAGCCAACAGAGCTAGCTGGTCCGTATAACGTTTCGAATTAAACGCGTAAATCTGAGTGCACGCGAGCCAGCTGGCTCGCACTCTCTTCTCCTATTTTATTGCATCCTGTGAACGCGCATTTAACCACTACTCGGTGAGTGTAATACTCGAACGCACGAACGTACAACGGGATAAAATAAAGACGCTTGTATAGCATATGAACGTACTGTGAAAGCTCCAATTTGAACAGAGTACAGAGGTATCCTAGCCCCTGACCAATATTTGTTAGGCTTTAAAGCTCTTGAATAATTTCTAAAGTCACATTCTTGGTTGATTTATTCGATAGAACTTGATTCATTTAATTGTTGTTTAAGGCAGCTATACCGCTTCACCCTAGTCAGATCAGTGCTAAATTTTTAATAATGTGTTTTTTCCATGACTTTGTGAGAACAGTTGACGTTCAAGAATTAAATTCGCATTATACATACATATATATATACATAAAAGAAAATAATATTCGCTTTTACGAGAAATTTTCATTATTAAGGTAGCTATACCGCTTCACACTAGTCAACTCAGTGCTAAATTTTTAATAACGTTTTTACAATTTCTGGTGGTTTAATTAATAGTTCCAAGGAGTTACTCACGTAACAGCATTAGTTCTTAATATATAAGTACATTCGCAGCCGTGATTCGAATAGAAAATCAAATATTATATCCAAACGTTCGATGTCATATTTTGTCGTGCAGTTTTTTAAAAGTATCAACCATAATAATAGTCCAATTATGACGAGCAATATCTCATTTTGATTATTGGGAAATCTTTAATCGATTGACCATCGAGATTTTGTATAATATTAGTTGTTCACAGGTTACAGTCACTTGTATGCCTGATATTAACGGTTGTATCTTTTGAGCTACTAATATTATCTAAAGTCTAGATCGCCAATCGATTAAGAATCTTCCAATAATCAAAATGAGATATTGCTCAGCATAATTGGACTATTATTATGGTTTATTCTTTAAAAAAACTGCACGATAAAACATAACATCGGACATTGACATATGTATATCAGTCGGCTTTCTGTTTGAATCGTGGCTGTGAATGTATTTATATATTAAGAACTAATGCTGTTACGTGAGTAACTCCTTGGAACTATTAATTAAACCACCAGAAATTGTAAAAACGTTATTAAAAATTTAGCACTGAGTTGACTAGTGTGAAGCGGTATAGCTACCTTAATAATGAAAATTTCTCGTAAAAGCGAATATTATTTTCTTTTATGTATATATATATGTATGTATAATGCGAATTTAATTCTTGAACGTCAACTGTTCTCACAAAGTCATGGAAAAAACACCGTGCTCCAAGCCCGGGGCGGGGGGACCTCACACTGTCGCGCTCTGTCTCTTTCTAATAATTTGTTTTTCTCCGGCTGCTGATAATTAAAATTTAATTCCAATTCGTTTGAGGCACCCTGTACGGGTTTGCGTTTGACCGAACGCATACGTTGAAACAATTGAGAATCGCACGAAGCTAAGGTGTTCAGCCAATAATCGACAGTCGTTCAACGAATACGCTTCCCACTCAGATCGTGAGATGATTCCGAATGGCGCGATTTGTCTGTAGCAGTTAGTTTTTGTCTTCCACTACTGTACCTCCCATCACGCAGCTATGACCCGCGGAAATCCTTCATTCTGATTGGTGCATCTTAGATGCTTCTCATTTAAAAACTATTGCGAATTTCGACAAACGTTTTACTGGAAGATACTCGGGGGCCATCCAGCCATCGTCCACTTTCTGGTGTAAAAGTAGTTCTGGGACACTCTGTATATACTTAGGTAATCAACTCCATTTTGCTAATGATAATTGCTCATTACGTACCATTAGTGCTACTGCATCTGCTACTGTTGTACAGAATTATTTTTTACCTCCATTGCTGTTCTGATGCATTAAAAATATATGTATATGAACAATTTAATAAATTGTTCTATACGATTTTCGTACGACGTGATAAATACATATTTTTGTGAATGGAACTGTTATTTGGAAATGTCTTTTAGGTTTAGGAAATTTAGTATACTTTATTCAGTGTCATGATGAAGTAACTAGAAATTCTTTATTATCTTGTTATAAATGAAATACATTGTGTTACAGTAATGGTGACGTGCCAATTACCAGCAACATTAACAACTATTATTCACCTGAGCTCCCGTCGTTTACAGGCAACCGGAAACTCGCGCCACTTTAGCAAATCTGGTATAGACTTTTCCTATTTGGATTTCATTCAAAATATAGTACGTATATTTGGTACTCGTGCCTGAAAATAAAATTTTCGATATACCTACCCAATATTTTCAAAAATGTCAATTGATGCTGTCATCGAGTTAGATGAATGTACGAAATAGTGCAAGTGAATTTTCGGATTTTTATAATTGTAATAATTGACAAGAATGAAGAGTAAATGCAATGCTTTTTTTTGGATATCATGTGTGTGTGTGGTTCTTATATCAGACTATTGTTAAAACGAAGAATTGTTTCTTAGTATTTTTGTTTAAGTGACTCGCAGCTGCCAGACCCCAAGAAAATGTTAAATGAGAAATTTGACTTTGAAATCTTCGTGAAATTGCAGCCTTGCAAAGAGTCCCCGTGTGCCAAAAAGATAGACTGGGACTTTTTCATTAATTATGTGTGTAATTCGGGAGCAATCCTAAATATTTACAGTAGCGTAACTCTTTTTTTACCATACTATCCAACACTTTCTAGTCGATTTGCGCTAAAAATATAAAAGCTCGTCCTTTCTGCTTTTGCTCATTCTCACACAGATACTTACACATACGTGTCTATGTGACCATTCAGTCAGTCCCGTTCATTCTCCATTTTTCGTTTCACATACAATTTTGGCATTGCCACATCTACTTCTGTTAGCCGGCTTACATTAGTTAAAAAAATTTTCAAATTTCCGGTAGCTTTTCAGAATTCGAGGTTTCTTCCGTAACATTATTACGAAACGTTTGACAATATTATTTCTAAGACTTGGCTGGTGATTTGAAACCTCCATTTTCTACAAAATCATTATTTTGAGAGAATTCTTTTTTATTTTCGGTGTCACTGGTCCAGTCGTGGCGATCTGACTGCGAGAAATCAATTTTGAAAAAATGAATTTGCCACATTTTTGTAATCTAAGCGAGCGTTCGTCGCGTATTTACCAATACACACTGTAGTACGCTTTATATGTATATATATAATATTATGCAATAACATAGAAGTATGCACCTATGCAATATGCACAACTTCATTTCGAGGCAAATATAACACAGTGTCGTTATTTACTTTAAAATTCATCTGAATTTGCGAATTTCTCTAGTGGAAATTTCTCTTCGGGCCTCGCTATAGACCCTACAGGCCCAACTAGGTTCTGGTCAGGCGCTCGATTTCCGGAAATAAACCTCTCCTAGCATTAATAACTTAGGAAAACATTAAATTCAGTATCGTTCTGTTTTACCCAGAAATTTGACTATTTTTTATTTTTTTAAGTTTCGTATATGTATAATAAACAAGAATCTTTTGCATTGACTCATTCTATGACTGCTTTATACATGTGTACTGAAAATTATTGCATAAATCGATTAGTAGTATTATCCTTAATAAATTATAATTATTTTCCTCTTCTTTAATAGGGGTTATTAACAGTACGGAAATATTCATCAACATTTTGTCTTTTACATGTCAGTCATATTAGTGGAAAAGATATTTTATTAATCAAATATAAATACAAGAAGAGGTTGTGATCCACATACATTTCTAATTTATCTTGACATTTTTTCCATCTTCTTTCTAATAAACAACACATACGACGCAGTAGAAACAATCTACAAAATTCGTGACTATTACCAAATATAGCAAGCTAATTCATATATCAATATTTACAGATTAAACGGACATTTCCGCATTAGAATTCGAAGTCCTAGTACTATGTCGTGTACCGTGTATATCTTTAACGTATATTTTGTATTTTCATTATTATAAAAAAAAAATTGTTCACTCGATGGGTGCATTTGTTTCCTCGTAGAATAATTTTATTCCCTTAGGATTAACTCCTCCGAACGTCACATAAAATCTGCGACATACAATTCACGGCATTATAGAACTTGTTAATTAGAGTGGTACAGTGCGATTATGTCAAAGAAGAAAAGAGAAAGAAAAAAGAATAGGATGGAAGTATAAAAAAAATGATGGCAAAAAATATTCTTATCAGATTCGCAAAGCTTTTAGATCTGTGGTCTGAATTTTTAGTATGACGCATAGGATGTGTGAGAAAATTCGCCGTCAATCAAGGTCCCCCGTAATTCCGCGTGCCAGATTCACGATTCCAATCAAAATGGAAATTCTAACGTTTCCGTTTTATGCAAAGCAATTGGGATTGGTTTCCAAGATCGATCGCGAATAAAAGTTAAAGCTGCTTTCGCGAAAGTCTTATCGGTTTTTTTTCCAAGCAGGACCAGGCTTTTTAATAACGTTGATTATTTGTCCGTTATCACAAAAAAGTCCACGTGACTTTCGAACTGTCTTTTTAAAAACACCCCTTTTTTCCAGTATGTCGTGCTGCATTAATCTAGTAAATGCTATTTACAAATGAAGTGCCCTACACATATTTTTCATCAAAATCTTCAAATATATAATATAGTTCTTTATATCTGGTGAGTATAATTTATACATTTATACAGCAACAAGCACGATTGCTTGCCGATACTTCCTCCTACGAAGAAAAAACATTTAATCACTTGCTATCGTATAATTCAAACCGGACATCCAACTTCTTCAGTGTCCGCTTTCGCAAAATTTTCTGTTCGCCTTGTTCTTCTCGTAATCACAACACCCATCTGACGAGACGCTCGGCAAGATGTCCTGGTATATTGTGTGATAATCGCAGCTGAGTTCGAGGCGTTCCCGTGGCCAAAGGTCTCGGCTGAAACAGAGAAAAATAAATTCGAGATTAGATAATGCGCGGCTAATTGAGAAGAACTAATTTTCAAATCACTGTTTCGCATGGACATAAAATAATTATTTAGGGATAATTAATTCCATAACGTGATTTTTTGAAAATATACCTTCACTTCACTTAATTACATCCCATAGATATAGCCTTGGCCATTCATCCCTTTTACAGATTCTGTAGATTCATCTATTGTAATTGTTCGGAAAGGAGCACTTCCTGAGTGGCTCGTTATGAAAGCAGAAAGGTTTCCCCAATGGAGGATCCAATGGGAAATAAATGGGAGCTCCACTTTCTTCTCTGACATTTATACTAAAAATAACGCTCGTTTATTTTTACCTTGTGAGGAACGGAAAAAATGATAAAAAGAGAGTACGATTGAGTGCTATAGAAAAAGTGAAAGAAAATCAGAAAAGAAAACTCAAGTGGCTTGTTGAATTTTCTACAGACAACCTTACGCGTCGCCATCGACTTTCACTTGGATTTACTCAAACCAATATAGCAATTGCTAATAATCATTGAACTGCACTTTTTAAAGACGTCATTCAATTTTTTAGACATTGAAGCATGAGCTTAAGTATACAGTAATGCCTCCAGTAAGTTGACCCTCAATAAGTTAAAGTCTTCCAGTAAGTTAAGAAACGAACCTCCGATAACTTAAGATCGGCCCATTCTTGAGACCTTTCTACTTGCTCGGTAGGGATACGAGATACTCCATCCATTTTATTATTCCATTATATATATATATTATCTCTCTAACTGCGTCCCTAGTGCTCAAACGCGATTGGATGACAGAAAGGTTAGGTAAAACGGTCAGTGCCTGAAACTTCGTGCATTGAAATCTGTCGAAACCCTTATGGCTTCGAGAGTGACAGATAGGTAACGCGGCGGCAATTTTGGTGCGAGACAGAGACCGATAGTCTCTCCCTACTGTACTCATTCTTCCACTTGAGCATTGGAGCGAAATTTTCGGACAGAAAGGAAAAGTATCATACAAGAAGCTCAGTCAATGATGTAATCTCCATGAGTATCTAAGACCTGTTGCCAAAGTTTGGATATGATCAAAAACAATTGATTTAAAAAAGGACATGTGTCGAGTTTTCTAAAATATATATAGGGAGTACAGAAAATTGATTATCATAATAATGAAATTGAGAGTGGCGATATTCTTTCATAATTTAAATTTTTCCCTTTGCCACGTCTCTTTGGTATACAAATTGTATATTAAAGAAACATTACCTAATACCTTTTTGAAATTTGTGACCGATTTTTTTTAAATAACGCAGCTTTAGCAGTAGCAACTTTGACCAGCTACTTTATTTCTCAAATGGGATAACTCTTTCATATACAAGTTGAAATCCGTGAAGAAACGAGTGTGACGAAAGTCGATACTCATCACATAATTCAGCTAAGTCTCTTGTCAATTATGAAAATTATTGATAAAAAATTCGTTATATAACATCAACAATTACATGATATCATATATAATATCATATGATAATGTTTTATTATGAAGCGCCAATACATGTCATTCAGTTTCCTTATTTTGGATGAGCTGTTCCACTACTAACAACTATATTCTGTAGTTGATCCTCACTTAACGATGCTTACCCTAAACAATATTTAAAGTTATTGCAAGTCATCATTTATAAAAAAAAAAGTTATAATAAAGGTGCGTTCACGCTATCCAAGTACATCGGAAAAATAATAGGTATTTTATTCTGTGACAAGTAGTGCAATTCATTATCGAATAGAGGAGCTTAGTAGATGCGAGATTATTTTAATTAGAAACCTGCTGAAAATCTAGAGTAATGTAAGCATACTCTTATACATTCGTAGAAACAATTGTATACACCCCATGAGATCTTCATATAATTATAAACTTCCAAATGGTAAGTAAATTTGATAGATTCAGAATAGGAGCCCGGTCTATATCTATTTATTCGCTTGATTACTGTTTCGGTTAATTCGAAATTTACTAATTGGACTAGCTCATTACATAGACCGTATAAATATTTATATCCAGTGATGGCTTCCTATTCGTTTGGACAAAGTGAAACATGTGTACATACACTAGCTACGTGAATTATTAACAATACATTTTATTATTTACAGAGACGAGTGATGATGAGGAATGAAATGCTGATCACCAGTTAGATTTGACAGCGGAATCCAAACCTCGCGAATGGCCGAGGAAATTAGAATCATATTGGAAAAAAGAAAGAAAAGTCTAAGTTAGAATAATTCTTCCTTACAGTATCTCGGGTAGGGTGGATATTTTCTAAGGGTGAGTTTACTTATTAATCCTAGAACTCCACTCATCGTAGGCGTACCCATTAGCTGTACATTGGAGTACCGAGATACCTCCGAGCTTTTCAATGTACCCTTTCCCTTCTCATAGCAGTGAGAAGATTTCAAAGCCCAATAATTTGTCCCTTTGATAATAACAAGATGATTAACATGTATTCTATTAAGTTTAATGAAATTAATTTAGTGAAAAATGTATAGATAGTCATGAAAGACGGCAAAAAATCATAAAAATCGAAGATTTTTGAAAGGACACTGTGGTATCAACGTACCCCGCATTAAAACTTTAAGGTCAATCTCATTATTTCATTAATCACGACAATCAAATGTCACGTTCCACATTATTTCCATGAAAACTTTGCGGATTGTAATAACAGAAAGGAAAAGAAAATCACAAGGAAAGAAAGTATCAAAGAAAGGCTGAAAACTTCTTTCTTAATTATGCACCCTCTATTCACTTTGTTGCTTAAAATTAATATTTACTTTTCAATCCAATTAGCTGTAACTCATGGAAACCGAATCGCTTCCTTCCATTAAAAAAAATCACCAATAACCTGCCACCGTCTAAAGAAAAGTTTCATTACACCATACAAAAATATGAATATCATTTTAGGTTAGTAAAAAGTAACCAGGAGATTACACGCGGAGGGTTTGAAGATTCTAAGAGAGGCTGGTACTTCTGGAATAATTGCGCCGTCCCTCTTGGTTCCGTTCAGCTTGCATGAGATGGTTGGGAATAGCAGAGGCCGGTTTTTCAGAATGGCTGGCGAATGGATTATAGGGCCAGATTTCTTAGCTTAACGACTCCCTCACGGACGTTTCCAGTGTCATTCGTATTCATGTCGTGGTTTTTCCTATTCCAATGATAATATAGTTGATAGCCCTACGCAATGTCCCCATGAGGAATTACTTCGTTGCAATGAGTTAGCAGTAACCCCTCGCACAGACACACCCTTAGTCATCGTGGTGCCTCCGGCATTTGTAGCAGCCCTCATGAGATACTACCCTTTCTTTGCCTTTCTGGCTTTACCGATTGTGAGTCTTTCCAACAGAGACTGACGTATAGTTTTAGTAATCTACACCAAAATAGCTAAAATGGAAACGGTCAACCATAAATGAAGTATCAACATTTTCCCTAACGTGTTACCATTTGAGGGCGGAAATCACAATAAATACAAACTTAATACACAATCCGTATTTTCTTTATATTATACTTTAATAGCTTTTTGTATACGTGTAAGTTGTTTGTAGAAGCTGTGAAAGGAATATTAGTTAATGAAAAAAGTTTAGATATGATGTTTTTCCTTAATTAGCCAATTTCTTTGATAGCGTATAGATGTGGTCCAGAGATTCCATAATTAAATTCCATTGAGATTCCATGTCAATCCCTCATTCTTCTTATTACCACGATTAGCCCTAAATCGTACTAGGATTCTACCGTCGTCTTTGACGACATTGATCACGTGTATTCTTATGACTTATGACTCTGTAACTGCCCCGACCCCATAAACCTTGCTTTTTGAATCTCTTTGACGATCACAACGTTCAGCTAGTTTAAACATTTAAAATTACCCTTCATTGTTTCCTACGCTGATTTTAAAATCTGCAGTCGAGCGTAAGTAGATAACGAGTGCTAAGTTGGAGAATTTTTATAGTACTTAGTTTGTAAACGAAAAGATTCTATATATTGGGAAACTATTAATTAAGTTTATTTGGAGACAAGACGTGAGCGATGTACTTGTTCAAAATTGATTGGAAAAAGTAAGAAAATAACAAAAACTAATATAACGTCAAATTGTTCTTTGTTGATAACTTAATATCATTAAACGACGCAACTAATCTCAATTAGATTCAAGATCTTCAATAACGTGATTTATTCTGTGTACATGCATAAAACAACAATTTTTAATATCTCATAGTATGGCAAATGTTTGCCAGTATGGCAAGTGCGATTGCAACAGCTCTCTGTTATAATCTATTCTTGTGACGAAAACTGCATAAGCTACCCCTTTATTAAATACTGTAAAGTGATTCTATAAATCAATCTCTATTATCCTGACTCGTATGAAATTTCGCAATTAATGGGGACGTTGTGAGAAAGCATGAAGGCGACTAGGTGAGATGTTAAGGAGTGAAATAAATAGAACAAGTACAGCGAACCTTAAAGCCACTCCTTCGCAAATAGTCTCTAGTAAATAATTGACGTGGGATTTCTACTTGGAATAATTGCTACACTTAATACGCGTCTGCCAGACCCTCTTTCCACCATTGCCATGTTCCTTCCATCCACCGTCTGTATTCTCTATCATCCCATTCAATATAATAGACTTATCCCTGGGTACCTCGAGGGTAGCCCTCTAGGAGTCGAATCCTTTTTCAACTCTGACCTACTAGACCCATAACACGGTTTCATTTCGGATAGAATTCGACGTTGGATTAGTTCTAGCGTTTCTGGAATATTTCCACTCACCAGTTTCGCTTCTTGACTTTTGCAGTCTTCTACTTCAAACTTTGAAGTTGTACAATTAGTTCCTTATTTCCTTATTCTACGAAATGCTTTTTATTTATAGAGATTTATAGAGATATAGAGTAATTTCAATGTCATAACTCGCGTGAGAAAAAATAATGGAAAGTGTGACTAAAGATTAAATCTGATAGTTTCGAAA